CTAGGAGACGCTAACCGGGCTGATTTTCGGCCCCCCCCTCCTCGCGCGGTCTACAACAAGGAACAGTAATACAACAAGAAGCAGAACTATCACATTGGAAACTGGAACCTGCACGTGGCGCAGGGAGCAGCAAACCTTTGTGGACCCGCAAGGGGGCCGGCGGTTTTTTGGGTAAAAGCGGATTCTCTTTCCGACAACATCTATTTACATGTATATATACACGCTTTTTGGGCAGGCGTTCTCTCGCCAATGGTCACTACGCTACGACGCCGCTCTAAACCTCCAGTATCGTTTCCGAGGACAAGCACCGCGGCCCCAGGGAACGCAGCGCCTCGTCCGAGAGCATTCGGCCCGAATCGGGGGGCCCTCCACCGACCGCGTCGGCGGGCTCCCAAGGGCGGCCCCTGACCGCAAGCCGCCTTCCCGAAACGCTGGGGGGGACGCCGAGTGTACCCCCTGGGCTCAGGCACCAAATCGGGATAACACAAGAGCTACACGGGGTGGTCAGTGGGAGGGAGCCTCAAGAGGCGAGGCTACGTGTAGCAGACGGCGATCGGCGCACCCACTCTCCTCGTATGAACATACACATGCGTGTATACGGCCATACGCTTTTTGGGCAGGCGCTCCCCCGCCAATGGTAAACTACGCTCCGACGCCCCTCTAACCCCCCAGTATCGCTTCCGAGGACAAGCGCCGCGGCCCCAGGGAACGCAGCGCCTCGTCCGAAAGCATTCGGACCGAATTGGGGGGCCCTCCGCCGACCGCGTCGGCGGGCCCCCAACGGCGACCCCTGACCGCAAGCCGCCCTCTCCCGAAGCGCTGGGGGGGACGCCGAGTGTAGCCCAATTTCCCCACACGTTGGCCCAACGGGCCGCTCTTAAGCACCCCCCCCGTAGTTCCACACCCCACCCTACTGGCCGTGAGGCCGGATCTACTAGTTACGAAAACCCCCTGCTCCTGACCGTGCCGCCTCACCCTGCCACCCGCACCCTCTCTCGGGGCGATCGGGACAAGGGCTGTCGAGGGTGGGTCGGGAAGGGACCGCCGCCTCTCGCCTGCGAGAGGGCTCCGAGAGGTGGGGCGGGTGAGAAGTAGGTCTTAATCTCTTGCCTGCAACCTGAACCCTTTCAGGATACCACCAACACTTGTGGCCACGACTTCCCTGGCACGCTCACGCGACAGCTGTGCCTCGCCGAGAGCGGGGGCCCGCCGAAACGGTCCAGGACGGGCCAGGACCCCAGGAACGACGGGGCACCCCAAAGGCCACCGTTGGTTTGCCCATGGGCGAGACAGACCTGTGGGAAAAAAGGATGCCCCCTCTTTGCCTACAACCTGCACCCCGTCCAGGACACCGCCAACACCTGCGACCGCGGCGCCCCCGAGCCGACCCCGAAGCAGCTGCGCCAAGCCCCTGTCATCCGTCGCACGTCGTCGTCGTCGTCCTCCCCCTCCTCCGCCAGATCCTCCTCCTCCTCCTCCTCCTCCTCCTCTTCCTCCTCCTCCTCCTCTTCCTCCTCCTCCAGCTCAACATCCTGCATCTCCCCCTTCACCTCCGTCTGCACCTGTTCGTTCGCTATTTCTCGTCCTCTTGCTGGAGAGAGCTGAGGAGGTCCGTTAGGTGCCGCCGAGGACGTGTGGGGTGTGATGGGGAGGAGGTGGAAAGGCGGAGACATGGTGACAACGCAAGGCGAGGAGGAAATCAAAGACGAGGGAGAGAAGAAAATGATTATGCCGATGCTGATGCTGATGATGAGGATGCTGCTGTTGCTGATGATGATGATGAGGATGCTGATTCTGATCATGATGATGATGATGATGACGATGATGATGATGATGATGACGATGATGACGATGCTGATAGTGATGCTGATGATGATGATGATGATGATGATGATGCTGATGCTGATGCTGATGCTGATGCTGATGCTGCTGCTGATGATGATGATGATGATGATGATGATGATGATGATGATGATGATGATGATGATGATGATGATGATGATGATGATAGTGATGGTGATGGTGATGATGAGGAGGAACTCAGGAGGAGGAACTAGAATACCAGGGATCACTGGAGTGTCGCCAGCTCGGCAGAGGGACAAGGTGGCCGAGGGGGAGGGGGGAAGGGGACGACAGCATTTTTGTTTGTTTGTTGATTGTTTTTGCTTTCCCAGGGGTCGAGCTCGACCTCGAGACGCCCATCGCACTGCGGAGCACGCATCTCTTGGAGCATTGCTCGGCTCCAGGCCGGGGCGGACACGCAGCGCTTCGAAATCGAAATCGGGTTCAAACACTTAATCTTCGCACAGGGTGCGGGAAATGGGGGCGCCCTCGGTTGCCTTATCCATGGGGGCGCTAAGAAATGGCCAAGACGGCCCAACGGGCCTCGCGTGCGACTCCAAGAGGACCAAGGAGTGCACTAAGAGCTCAGGACAGCTCGATATTGTTCAAGGGTGTCTTCAATTCGGCCTCAGGAGGGCACCAAGAGCTCGCACAATATTTTCGACTAGCAGTGGATGAATGCGGGCTGCTTTTGTTGAACATCTCATCCCCGCCCCGCATCGTGCCTGTGCTTCGGGTTCCATTCCCTCGTGTGCGCAACCGGGGCCGTCTGCGGGCCCGGCGGCCCCGATCCGGTCCGTTCCCCCCCTTTTCCCAATCGCAAGCCGGTCTGCGGGCCTGGCGGCCCCAGTCTCGTCCGTTGCCGTGCCGTTCCCGTCCGTCGCCGCCGCCCCGTTGCACCTCCCAAGCCCCCGTTGCATGTCAATCGCATTGGACTGCCATCGCAACGCGTTGAATCTTGATCGCGTCGCATTTCATGGCGTCGCTTTGCGTTACACTCGTTTTGCATTGCATTGCAATGGCACTGCATTGCATTGCTATGCATTGCATTGCTTTGTTTTTCATTGCTTTGCACTGTTTTGCGATGCTTTGCGTTCCTTTACACTCGCATTGCATTGCGTCGCATTGCTTCGCATTGCATTCCGTTGCTTTGCATTGCTTTGCCTTGTTATTCTCCTTTCGAAAAACAAAATAAGATCTCCCCCCCCCCCGGCGTTCGCCGCCACCCCTTCGGGTATGCAAATCGTATATGATTCTGACCACATGTCCATACTAAAGCTGAATTTATACTATCCCGGAGGTGCCGGTATCGGTCCCCCTGAGGTTCCCTTGTGGAAAACGATACGCGGGGACATTTTGTTCTAACATAAGACTTTTTCACGAATCCCTTGCAAAAAATGGGACGAAGCGCACACGCGCGCGTCGTCGCGCGCGCATGCCGAAATCCTTCAAACACCTGCGATGCCGGAAGGATTTCGCAATCGAATTTCCCAAAAAAACATAGAACACAGGGTTTCGCAACACTGATTCGCTAAAAAAGCTTACGCGCGAGCTTTTGCGAAATCTTAAGGACACCATCTGTTTTTTTCAAGACTTTCACAAAGTGCTACCCAACGGGCTTCGCACGCGCGCATGTCGACATCTGTCGAGCGCCCTTGCGCGTATGCCGTCGCGAGAATCCTTTGAAACAAAACGGGACGAAGTGCAGACGCGCGCGTCGTCGCGCGCGTATGCCGAAATCCTTTAAAGCCCATCGGTTTCGGAAGGATTTCAAAATCGTGTCCAAACAACCTGCAAAAGCACAATGCTTCGCAACACGGATTTTCAACAAAAACGTGCGCGCGCGCTCTTACGTCGCCGTCGTCGTCGTCGTCGTCGTCGTCGCCTACGTCGTCCTCTGTCTTTCCTCGTGTTCGTCGTCGTCGTCGTCGTCGTCGTCCTCTTTGGCGTCGTGGTCGTCGCCGTCGTCGTTGTCGCCGTGGTCATCCTTCCTCCTCCTCCTTCGTCGTCGTCGTCGTCGTCCGTCGTCTGCGTCTCGTCGTCGTCCCTCCTATTTCGTCGCCGTCGTCGTCGTCGTCGTCGTCGTCGTCGTCTTCCCTCCTCCCTCGTCGTTGTCGTCGTCGGCGTCGCCGTCCTTCCTCCTTCTTCGTCGTTCGCGTCGTCGCCGTCCTCCCTCCTCCCTCGTCGTTGTCGTCGTTGTCGTCGTTGTCGCCGTCATCGTCCTCCCTCCTCCCTCGTCGTCGTCTTCGTTGGCGACGTCGTCGTCGTCTTCGTCGTCGTCGGCGTCGTCGGCGTCGTCGTCGTCGTCGTCGTCGTCGCCGCCGTCGTCGTCGTCGTCGTCGTCGTCGTCGTCGTCGTCCTCGGCGTCGTTGACGTCGTCGTCATCGTCGTCGGTGTCGTCGTTGTCGTCGTCGTCGGCGTCGTCATCGGCGTCGTCGTCGTCATCGTCGTCGTCGGCAACGGCGTCGTCGTCGTCGTCAGTGTCGTCGTCGTCGTCGTTGTCGGCGTCGAAGTCGTTGGAGACGTCGTCGGTGTCGTCGCCCAGCTGGGATGTGCCCAGCAGTCAGCGCCACCGCGGCCGCGTCGGTCGCGCCAAACTAGCTGGGCGCTGGGCGCGCGCTTGGGTTGGCGCGGCCGCAGAGATGGGCCAGCTAACTCCAAACACTCATCGCAATCGTCACCACATGGGTTTTGCAAGACAAGTTGCGGGTGGGTGGGTGTGATGTTTGCAAGAGCGTGGGATGTGTCAACTCGTTTGCTAAAATCACTTGTGTCATAGATTGCACCACATGGATTGCACCACCTAGGTTGCACCACATATATTACACCACCTGGATTGCGCATGGTGCAAACATAATTGCTTGGAGTCCACACTGGCCGGCGTATGTACATATCTTTATATATACGTATACTTGATCTGCACGGATTAGCATGGTCGGCGTCGTTGGTCAGGCAAGCTTTGAACTGCAGATGTAAAGGCGTATAGTTTTGACCATCCCGACAGGTCAAGCTGACATTGGCTAGTAGGAATGCTCTTTGCCGTCGCACATCCAAGAGGTGTGCAGGTATGCATGGAGGCGACATGGTAACCAACGTGTAGTAGAGCAGCGTCACAAAAAGAAGCGCACGTGGTGTCACGAAGCGTGCTGGCTAAGGTCCTCGAGAAGAAAGAATGTCATTGGGTTCCGCTCCACCACAGTAACAGCCAAGCCTCCCTCCTCAACATTTGAGACCTACGGCGCTCAAGCCTCGCCCTCTTGACGCTTCTCACCCCCGTCTGTTCAAGACGCGCACTCATGCCATACATACTCCTGCTTCGGGTCGTAGTGCGCACTGCTTCGTGGTCGAAACGCCATGCTTACCTTATCCATACACCGTTCGTCTCACGCGAACCGGGCCGCAGACGCAGACTCCGCGCACTCGTTCTCGCCTCGCTAGAATCTAACAGGGACGCCCGAAGGCAATCTTCGAATTATCCCTGACTCCCCAACTTTCCTCTCGGGTCCTCGGGCCTTAAAACGGAACCTTCGACAGCATATCTGGATCAAGCCAGATGCCGATTCAACTGGCCTCGGGTTCCACGTCTGCCCGAGCCTCCTCCAGATGATGACTGAGTCCGTCTACCGTCGCCGAACGTCATCAGGGTACGGGTGGGTCGAAGATGCGAAGATTGAAAGGCACCCTCGGAGCACCCATGACCTTGGCGCGCCAGACATGGGGACGGACAAAAATGGAGGCGATGCCCAGGGGCCTAGCAACAAACGCTTTCCCTAAAACCGGCAGCGGCCAATTCCCGTCCTTCCTCTGCCACCTTTCCTTCCTGCCCCTTGCTCGTGCATGGCCATTCTCGGCTACACGTGAATGGCAGTAGGCAAGAGTGACCTTTGGTGCGCGACTTTCGGAGGCCGCGGGGAGGCCAAATCGGTGCGCGCAAGCCGCTGCCATCTCATCGCTGTCGGCCATCAGAAGACCCTGGTGTGCCTGCACCAAAAGTCATTCTAGCGACAGGTCACTCTTACGAATAGTTAGCCGGGCATTCGCCTGGCGAGGCGGAGAGCACTGCCGCCACGCTGGCGCACTTCCCTCACCTCTCCCCCCCTGGGGCGCAGCGGGCGGCCCCCGCGACGCCCCCGCCCCGCCGAAGCACGCGGCCATGAGCAGCGCGTCGGAGCCGAAGCCGCCCGTGGCGTCGACCACCTCCACGCTCGCCCCCCGCCCGCCGATGTCGTGCGTTGTTGCTGGATGGCTTCCTTTTTGGCTCAGTCTTACCGCCGTTGCTCTCTTCATGCGCCCCCTGCTACCCTCACTTGTCTCATTCATACAGCTCTCTATCTCTCTCTCTCTCTGCCTCTCTCTCTCTCTCTCCCTCTCTCTCTCTCTCTCTCTTCCTTCTTTCTTGCTCTCCTCTTCCGTCCAGCGAGCCCCGCGAAAGGTGGCGCCCACAACATGGACCAGGCGCGCATGGAGCCACGCGAATACCCCAACTGCAGCAGGCGAGCCCCCCTCGCCCCGTCGTCGCCGCGTCTGGTCAGCTGGAGGGGAGGGAGTCTGTTCGTCGAGGAAGGCTCTGCCGCACGTGTTCGATGATGGACGCGCTTTGGCATCCACCAGCCCTGGGCGGTCGACCTTCGGCGGTTTTCGGCGGTTTCCTGGCGGTTCTCGGCGATCCTCTGACGGTCTTCGCCGGCTTCCTGCGACTTTCGGAGCGAGAGCTGGATACGGAGAGGTTCTCACCTCAGGCCCTGGGGCTTGCTGGGCTTGCTGGCACGGGTGAACTCAAGAGGCCGACCACGGTGCCGCACCGCGCAAGACGGCCAGGTGGGACCCCAGGGAAGCCAAGAGCCTCGGCCACCAGACAGCCCCGTGGGCCAGGGGTCCCCCGTCCTGTCGCTGGGCGGCCCTTGCCGCCCGCTCTGCCACTGCACGCGTGCCTCCTGGGCGGAGGCGAAGCCAGGAGCCCAGGGTCCGGAAGCCAGTGGAACCCGAGTCGTGGATTGGCCATGGATGCCGTCGCTGCCCTCACCAGATAAGAAATCCACCAGGGCATGAGGCCTCCTGGGCACATTCCTCAACCAACGACCCCACCGTGGTTGCGGCTAGCGGTCAACAAAGTGTCCATGATCGAACGCCTATCTGCCGTACACTTCGTGATGGCCCGGGCTGGCCCTGCGCGCCCAAGCGGGCGGGGCAGGTGGAGGTCAGTGCCCACCTTTTGCACCTTTCGGCACGCAGAATACGCCAAATCAAAAGATAGGCGCGCGGAGTCGCGCTACATACAAACATTTGCGTCCGAGAATGCTCCTGGAGTCATCGCCCAACAGATCATAAGGAAAGTTGGGGTGGCGGTCGGGGAGATGGTGAACTGCACATTTTCTTGGGCCAGACCTGCAGTGACCAAGTGACGTGGGGTGAAGGATACCGTTGACGGAAGCAACTTTGCAACAAACGTTTAGGAACCGCTTAGGATGACCGCCCTCCGCCCCCCAGCCTTAGCATTGAATAAGCGTTGGCTAGCAAGATCTCGACCCCAACATTTGCCAGCGTTAACAAGGCCAGGGGGTGGAGGGGGGATTTGGTTATTTCTAGTTCGGGCGCTGTAGCCCAATTTTTCCCTTCAGTCGTACTCATGGTGACGTGTCACCCCTCGGCGGAGGGAGAGCTTTCTTAGAAGCCCCCGCTTTTGAAGAGTGCCGCCCCCCCTCGCGCGAACCCTCTCGCGCGCGCCGCCAGACGGCGGACGACGACGGACGGCGGAAGACAGACGACGGCCGACGGACGACGGCGGACGACAGACGACGACGGACGACGGACGACGATCCTCCCTGAACTGTCCTGGCGCTTTCTGACTAGAACTTTGAAGCGGATCTGGCCGTGTAATGACGGCGCCCCTAGAGGCGGCCTTCAAAAGTCTCCGCAATCTCAAACCTGAAAAAACCCAATGACTAGCACCATGCAGCCAGAAGCGCACGGGGCTGGACCCACACAATGACCATCCAGAGGCCACGCGCTGGATCTGCATGCGGAAGCCCCACGTGCCCGGCCATGGAAGGGCCGAGCGCTGGACAGACCCCCTGGCCCAGGTGTCTCTACCTCTCGCTCACGCTGGCCGCGCCATGCCTGCCCAGCCTCCTGGACGACGACGACGACGACGACGACGGACGCCGGGCCTGGCTTTCGGGCAAGAGCTCGGGCCTCCGGCGGCCGTTCGAGGCGATTCGAGCGCTCTCAAAACGCTCTCGGCGAGGCGCAGGTCGTGGCAAAGCATCCCGAGGCGAGAAGACCTCCAAGATCCGAGGACGACATCGCCGACGTCGATGACGGTGCCGTCGACGTCGACGACGAACGACGACGACCACGTCGACGAAGAAAACGACGAGCGGTATCCACGACGAACGACGTCGACGACTTCGACGACTAACGACGACGTCGTCGTCGACGGCGTCAGCGACGACAACGCCGACGACGTCAAAGACATCGACGAAGAACGACGAGCTGCGTGCGGCGTGAGGCACTGGCGGGGCCGCCTCGAGGGCCCCGGGGCAGGGGCGCCCCAGCGCCGCGAACAGCGGGTGCGCCGAGGGCGGCTCCTGGAGCCTCCCCCTCCCCTTTGGCGGCGCGCGCGGCCCTGCGTTTCGGCGACTACTACGGGTGTGGTCCGCAAGGGTTGCGTATTCGACGATGGACCCCTTGTTGCCACCCAGCCCTGGGCGGTCTTCGGACTTCGGCGGTTTTCTGACCGTCCTCGGCGGTCTTCGTCGGTTCAATGCGGTTTTCGTCACGAAAGTTGATAGTTGTGGTGAACACGGGGTCCATGATTGAACGCCTAACGAAGGGTGTGGTCTGCATAGGGTGCGGCTTGGAGCCCGCAGTCTGGGGGTCGAGGACCGCGACGGAGTTCTCCGCCGCGCCCCGAGGAGGGCACATCGAGCCTTTGGCGCAACGCGGTCACAAGCCCCAGCGGCGCAGATCGCCCCCCCCCCTCCCGATGTAACCACACCATCCGAGATCTCCGAATACACTTGCTCCCCACATCCTAAGTGGGGTTCTGGTTTTCTCTGGACCCCCCGCACAGGAACAATAATCCACCACCGCCACCACCACCACCACCACCACCATCACCACCACCACCACCACCACCACCACCACCACCATCATCATCATCATCATCATCATCATCATCATCATCATCATCATCATCATCATCATCAGCAGCAGCAGCAGCAGCAGCAGCAGCAGCAACATCATCAGCATCATCAGCATCATCATAATCGTAATGATCATCGTCATTACCATCATCACCATCATAAGCATTCCCATCAACATCAGCCTCAACATCGCAACCATCATCAACCAGCCATCACTCATTACCATCATCATACCCACCAGCAACTTCATCATGATCAGCATCATTCACACACTCCCCCACTCACTCACTTACATGCACTCATCACGCACTCACTCATTATCATGTCATGATCCTGTCATGGTCATCGGTCATCACTCTCAACGCCACCACCAATACTATCGCACACCACCATCGTCATCACTAGCACCATCCCATCATGATCACCGACCAAGCGGGAGCCTCGTCTGTGAGTGGCTTGCGAGGAAGTCTCAGGCGGGAGCTCCTTCCCTCTGGGGCCTGCAGCTCATGATATTAATCCCAGCGGGCCATCGGAAACTTGTAACTGTCCTCATTTTTGGATTCTTCAGGCTTGGGTATGGGGGGAATCTCAAGCGGGAGCCTCGTATGTGAGTGATTTGCGAAGACATCCCAGGTGGGAGCCCCCTTCGTATGGGGCCCGCAACTCATGAAACTAATCCGAACGGGCCATCTGGATCCTGGAACTGTTTTTTTTTTTTGCCTTTTCGAAACTGACGGTGGACAAATCCTAGACGGGAGCCTTGTCAACAAGTGACTGGCGAAGAAGTCTCAGGCGGGACCCCCCCCCCCAATGGGGCCCGCAGCTCGTGTTATTAATCCGAACGGGCCATCGGGATCCTGTAGCTGTCGTCGCTTTTCGGCCCCTTCAAACTTGACGATGGAGGGGGTCTCAGGCGGGGGCCTCGTCTATGACTGAATTATGAAGAACACTCAGGCGGGAGCCCCCTCCTCTGTGGCCCACATCTCATTTATCAATCCAAGCGGGTCATCGGAATATTATAGCTGCCGTCACTTTTGGCCTCTTCAAGCTTGATTATGGAGGAAGTCTCAGGCGGCAGGCTCGTCTGTGAGTGGTTTGCGAGGAAGTCTCAGGTGGAAGCTCCCTCCCTATGGGGCCCGCAGCTAATGTTACTAATGCGAGCGGGCCATCGGGATCATCGCCCAGGCATACCATTTGAGCCCCCCCTAAACAAACAAATCGTGAGGATGTCTCGTGTGGTGCCTCACTTGTGAGTGAAACGCGCATAAGTCTGAAACGGGAGACTCCCCCGAGCCCCCATGCCATGATCGAGCCCGAGCGGGTCATCGGAACCATTTACCAGGCATAGCCTTTGAGCCCCCGAAGGGGGCAAATCGTGAGAGTCTCTCGAACGGGGGCCTCGTGTGCGAGCGAATTGCGAGTAAATCTAAGGTGAACCCCCCTCCCTACGAGGATCTGCGCTTCATGTTCGAATCCGAACGGAATCACTTATCAGGCATAGCTTCTGACTGCTTTTGAACACCCCAAAAAGGCAGATCGTGAGGAAATATCAAGCGGGAGCCTCGTATGTGAGTGATTTGCGAAGACGTCCCAAACGGAAGCCCCCTGCGGATGGGGCCCGCAACTCATGCTGGGGACCCGAGCGGGTCCTCGGAAATCCGCCGATCCGGCGTGTGAGTTTCTGAGAGCGTGGGCTTGAGATCGCTCAAGCTTCGCTCTGGACGGGGGGGGGGGGGCGCAAACGACGAAAACCGACGAAAGAATTGACACGCGAGGGGGGGGGGAAAGGAGAGAGTGGGGGGGGGCTCGCTCAAGCTTCGCTCTGCAAGGGGGGGGGGGGGCGCCAACGACGAAAAAATTGACACGCAGGTGGCGGGGGGGGGGACGGGAGAGGGAGAGGGGAAAGGGGGGGAGGGGGCAAGGAGAGGGGGGGACAGGAGAGAGGGGGGGGGGAGGAGAGAGGGAGGGGGAGGGGGGGGCAAGCTAGGTGCGCTCGCGTCATATCTGACATCCTACCCCTCCCTCCCATCCCTTACCATGGCGCAGATCCCCTCTCTACTCGCACAGTCGGATGTCGAGCAGGGCAATGATCCCGAAAGGGTACGCGATGCATTGTAGAGCACGGCGTGGCATGGCGTAGAAGAGCACTGCGAAGCGTAGCACCAACCAAGCATTGCATTGCATTGCATGCCGTGGCATGGCACGGGAAATGACGCCAGCGCTGCAGCGGGAGCACGAGTCCAAACGAGCGGAAGCGCGGAAATGAGGCCAGCGCTGCAGTGGGAGCACGCTTCGGAACGAGCAGAAGTACGCCGGAATCGGCCCGGGAGGCTTCCCGGGCGCCAGAAGCAGAAATTCAGCATTTTCAAAAGAAAAATGTGTATTGGAATTGCCTTTTTTCGGCGCCGCCTCGGAACTCGATTTTCCGGCGCCGGCCGGAATCGGCTCCGGAGCCGGCCCGGGCGCCGGCCCGGGCGCCGGCTCGGGCGTCCGGGCGTCCGGCCCGGGCGCCGGCTCGGGCGCCGGCCCGGGCGTCCGAATCGGCCCGGGAGGCCTCCCGGGCGCCGGAAGCAGAAATTCAGCATTTCAAAAGAAAAATGTGTATGAGGATAACCTTTTTTCGGCGCCGCCTCGGAACTCGATTTTCCGGCGGCGGCCGGAACCGGCTCCGGACCAGGCCCCGAGCGCCGGCCCGGGCGCCCGCTCGGGCGTGCAGCCCGGGCGCCGGCGGAAATGATGCCAGCGCTGCAGCGGGAGCACGATTTGGAACGAGCGGGGCCCGAAAATGAGGCCGGCGCCTTAGCGAGAGCAGCATTTTGGGAAAAACAAGCGAAAACCCAACTCCGGGGAAACCTGTGTGTAAAAAAACAATACGCCGGGGGGGGGGGGTAGCCGTCATCAGGGGAAGAGGGAGAGTAGTATTCATTGAGTAATTGTGGACAGGAGAGAAGAGGGGGGGGGACAGGAGAGGGGGGGGGGGAGGGGGAAAGGAGAGAGGGGGGGGCGGACAAGAGAGAGAGGAAGGGGGGGACAGGAGAGAGGGGGGGGGGGGGGAAAGGAGGAGGGGGGGAAGACAGGAGAGAGGGGGGGGGGAGGGGGGAAAGAGAGGGGGTGGGGTGGGGGGACAGGAGAGAGCGGGGGGGGGGACAGGAGAGAGGGGGGTAGGGGGGGGACTGGAGGGAGGGGGGGGGAGAGGGGGGGGGGAAGGATAGAGAGGGGGGGGGACAGGAGAGAGAGGGGGGGAGGGAAAGAAGAAAGGGGGGAACAGGAGAGAGGGGGACGGGGACAGAAGAGAGGAGGGGAGGTGGGGAGGGGGGGCCCGGATCATCACCATCTCCATCACCATCACCATCGTCACATCACCATCAGCATCATCATCACCATCATCATCATCATCATCATCATCATCATCATCATCATCATCATCATCATGATAATCATCATCACCATCATCATCATCATCGTCATTACCAACATCATCATTATCATCATCATCATCATCTTCGTCGTCATCATCATCATCATCACCACCACCACCACGACCATCATCATCATCATCATCATCATCATCATCATCATCATCATCATCATCATCATCATCATCATCATCATCATTATCATTATCATCATCATCCGGAGGGTCCCAGATCGGCGGCACTGGCCGGAGGCCACTACAAATCTAGCTGCCATCGGAGAACGCGCTCCTTCTGGCCGTGGCGGCGAGGGCGTCGAGGAAATCGACATGCGTGCCCCGGACAGAAGGAAGGAGAGGTTCATGAGGAGAACAGGCGGGATGAAGATGAGGAGGGAGAAACAGGAAGAGGTGGAGGACGAGGAGAAGGAGGAGGAGGAGAAGACATGGAACGAGGAGGACGAGAAGGAGGGGACGGAGGATGAGGAGGAGGAGGAGGAGGAGGAGGAGGAGGAGGAGGAGGAGGCGCAACAGAGGGTGGGAGGAGGGCCTCCGCCAGGGCGAAGAGGTAAACGAGATGGGCAAGCTAAATGGATTCTCGTGTGGGGCCCTCCCGTCGCAGTAATGCTGGTTCAATCTGGGCGCTCTCCTTGAAAATTCAAACAATGGGGCCCGATACCGGGCCCCCGGACCGTCAAACGTGAACCTGGGGCGAAGAACTGCCTGCTGGGAAGACATCTATTGGACGCTTTTGGCTCTCCGGGAGCGCCCTCGGGGCCACTGCTGGTCGCAGCTCAAAAAACTGGCCAGGATGGGCTCCGGGAGGGGTCTGGGCATCCAGTTTGAGCCTCTCTTTGGCGACGCCCCTCGTCGACGTCGTCCGTTGTTTTTTTTTCTGCTCCTCGATCCTCGATCATCCCCCTCGGTTTTCGCATGCCTTCGTTGGCTGCTTGCTGTTTTTTCGCCCAGGGATGCCTACCAGCAGCTGCTGCGCCTCGCCGACAGCGTCTCAAGGGTGCCCTATGTACCGAACGGCCGCCGGATGCCCGAGTTCTAGCACCAGGGCCAGGCGCGCTGGCGACGCTCGTTGTCGACGTCGTCGTCCGCTCGCCGTCCGTCGTCGTTCGTCGCCGTCCGCTGCCATCATTGTCCACGATCGGGGATCTAGATTCGATGCCTGAGGCCTGGCCGCTTGAGGCCTCTGGTGGAGCCCTCGTGGCCACGGCTGGATCCGCACCCAACTTCTGGTCCGAACGCGCCCTAGGACAGCGGATCGTCGTCCGCTGTCGTCTGTCGTCGTCTTCTGGCAGCGCGCAGAGAGGCGAGGAGGAGGGAGGAGGCAGAGGAAGAGACCTGAAGAGGGAGGATGCCGCGGAGGGAGGAGGCTGGCGACGACGTGCAGGGCCTCGAGCTCGGATTCGCCTGCCCTCGTCTGCAAGGCTGCCCCGCCCAGAATAAGTGAGAGCGGCTCCTGGTCTCTCCCACATGGGGAGGGCAGCCACCCCTTCTTGCCCCTCCACCTTCTCCTCCTCCTCCTCCTCCTCCTCCTCCTCCTCCTCCTCCTCCTCCTCCTCCTCCTCTTAGGGCCGGGAACTTCTGCGCAGTTGTGGGCGACAACGAAGACGGCTGGGGAGACACCGTGTGCTAGTCGAACAGCCTGGGCTTGACCCGTGTCATGGCGGCGGCCCCGGCGACACGCTATGCCCTGCGAGCTGATGGTTTGTCGCTCTGCTCTGAGGGTGGGAGGCTGGGAGCAGCTCGGGAGTTTCATGCTTGCGAAATGGGAAGTAGTTAGCATGTCGCGCCAGAGCGTGCTGGGCCAGAAGCGGCGGAGTTACACGCTCAGCAAAAGTTCCCGCCCGTTTTCTCCCTGCTCCTCCAAGCCCTCCCCTCCCATTTTCTCCTCTTCCCCCTCCTTCTCCGCTCGTCCTCCCCCTCATTCTCCTCCTCCTCCTCCTTTCCTCCTCCTCCTCCTCCTCCTCCTCCTCCTCCTCCTCCTCCTCCTCCTCCCCCTCCTCCAACTCTTTCTCCTCATCGCCCTCCTGCTCCTCGTGCTCTTTTGACTCGTCCCGAAGCTCGGGAAGCCGAGGCTATCATGCGTCAACCATGGCCTCGCTCGGACCTCCGATCGGGCCTCCGAGTTCGAGTTCGGAAAGAGGTGTCTTCGGGTCCTGAAATTTGTCGAGATCCCAGGTGCGACCTGGGCTCAGCCTTTGGCCTCGAGTGATTCGGCTGGTACAGTCAAAACCGATAGAAATAATGCGCGATGAGGACGCAGGCCCCTTGGACGCCCGTGTTGAAGCTTTTCCGAGCGCGGCGGGCCATCGAAAGTAGTCAAGGATGGACCAAAGATGCACGGGTGCGAGGGCAGCCACCGGTCGCAAAAAATCCGCCGACCCTGTCGGCGTGTGACAGGGGCCGTTCCGTCGCCATCGCCGTCGCTGCCGCCTTCGCGTCGCCGCCGCCATGACGCTCCCCCCTTTTCTGGGGCCCTCGTCACGTCCTCAAGCGCGCCAGCCAAACCGAAATACACCAGCCCATCCGCAACGAAATTAAGCAACGTAGTCATTGAGTCGAAGGGAAGCCCCTTCCCTTTGATCCATTCCCCGCGGAGCTGGGGGGCGGTCCCGGGGGAGGTCCCAAGGGGGGGGTCCCAAGGGGGGGGTCCCAATGGGGGTCTCGGGGGGCGGTCCAGGGCCAGAATACCGCCCTCTCCCTCCCATTTCCAGGGTCGGCGGCACCAGCCGTAAGGCCTTAGCAATAGGTACACACATGAACTAGGAAGGCGTTGGAAGTAGATCTGGTTTTCGCCAGCCCCCCTAATGATGAGGGAAGGGGGAAACACGCTCGCTGATTGAAGTAGGAAGGCACCTAAAGTAGACTGAGATCTTGGAATCCACAAGAAATCTACTTCCAACGGCCAATGGGTAGCCTTGAAAAATTACCCGTCCTGACTATCCATGTGACTGTACTGTATCCCCAGCCATCCAGATATCTGGTGCGCGGCCCCGGACGTCACGACCCCCGCCGACCCATACGTCCGACATCGTGTTGTTGTTGTCTTCGCAGCGTGAGGAGGGAAACGACAACGTAGGGTAGTGATAGCAAGAGGAGGAGGATGAGGAGGAGGAGAAGGAGGAGGAAAAGGAGGAGGAGGAGGAGGAGGAGCAGGATGATGATGATGATGATGATGATGATGATGTGATGATGATGATGATGATGATGATGATGTTGATGATGATGATGTGGAGGAGGAGGAGGAGGAGGAGGAGGAGGAGGAGGAGTGTCATGAGTGTCATGAATCGCCACAGTCGCGTGGCAGATGATGATGACTGATGTGATGATGATGATGATGATGATGATGATGATGAGGAGGAGGTGGAGGCGGAGGAGGAGTTGGAGGGCGGCCGGAGGAGGAGGAGGAGGGTGAAGGAGGTGGAGGAGGGAGGGATGGGAGGAGGGGGGGAGGAAAGAGGAAGGGGGGGAGGTGGAGGAGGGGAGAGAGGGCAGGAGGAGGAAGAGGAGGAGGTGGAGGAGGAGGAGGAGGTGAGGAGGAAGAGAGGAAGGGAGGAGGTGGAGGAGGAGGGGAGGACGGAGGAGGAGGAGGAGGAGGAGGAGGAGGAGGATGAGGGGGAGGAGGAGGAGGAGGGGGGAGGAGGAGGAGGAGGAGGAGGAGAGGAGGAGGAGGAGGAGGAGGGTAGGAGGAGGAAGGACCTTGAGGAGGAGGAGGAGAAGGAGGAAGAGGAGGGGAGGAGGAGGAGGAGGAGGAGCAGGACGACGACGACGACGACGCGAGGGAAAGACAAACGCGACCCCTGCTAAGCCGCCACCGCGATCGTTGCCGTCGGCACTGCTTAGGGAGACCTGTGTTGCGCGACCGCTGGTAAGACATCCTCGCCGACGTTGCGCTTCTTCGCGACGTTGCCCCCCAGAGGTTTTCGCGACGTGGCCCCCCAGAGACTCGGACCCCCTTCCCAAGGACAGGCTTTCCATTGATGGGTTGTTTCTTGACGGCCCAAGGGCCCAGCAGGGGGAGAAGAGCCAGAAAGCGGGCGGGCCTGATCGGAAGGCTAAGAAGACCTCCGGCCTTCTGAAAATCCTTCCAAGCCTCAAGTCGGGCCTGTCCCTCTACAGGGGGAGTATGGAAAAATGGTAACAAATATAGTCAGGGCAGTTTTTTTTGTATATGTTTCGACTATTTTGGGGTATTTTTTGAATATTTTTAAATCTTCGCCCAAAATCCGCCCGTAGGGGGAACAGGCCCGACCTAGTCCAAGCCTCCGCGGGCCTCTCTGGAGGGTCAGGCGTGGCCTCGGAGCAGCCCTGCCGCCATCCGAGGAGGCATGCCCTGGCTCACTCCCCCCTCGGCGCGCCGCCGAGTACTGTCTCATCTTCCTCCTCCTCCTCCTCCTCTTCCTCCTCCTCCTCCTCCTCCTCCTCCTCCTCCTCCTCCTCCTCCTCCTCCTCCTCCTCCTCGTCCAACTAGTCCTCCTCCTCGTCCTCCTCCTCCCTCCTCCTCTCCTCCTCCTCTCCTTCTCCCCTCCTCCTCCCTCCTCCTCCTCCTCTCTCCCTCCTTCCTCCCTCTCTTGGCTTCCACTCTCCTCCTCCTCCCCTCCTCCTCTCCTCCCTCCCTCTGCCTCCTCCTCGCCCTCTCCTCCTCCTCTCTCCTCCTCCTCCTCCTCCTCCTCCTCCCCCTCCTCCTCCTCCTCCTCCTCCTCCTCCTCCTCCTCCTCCTCCTCCTCCTCCTCCTCCTCCTCCTCCACGCCGTACTTTTCACAATGTGGCCCGAAAAGGTCTGGACCCCTTCCCGGGACCGGCTTTTCCTCCCAAGTCGTTTTTTTGACGGCCACGGGTCCCGACGAATGCTCCTAAAGGCCGAAACGATCAAACACCTTCCGTCGTTATTTTTCCACGCCGCGAGGATGTCTGGGTCAAGACCTATCGAACCTCCAGGTCTTCGCCCCAAACCTCCCCTCCTCGTGAAACAAATCGCGGCGGGCGGTTTTTGGCAGTTGTCGGCCTCCAGGGGCCCTTGCTGGGCCCCGGGCTGGCAAATCACAGCTCAAACATCCAGGGCTCACGCTGCGACGCGCGGAGTCGGGGGGGGGGCAGCGGGAGAGACGGCGGGGGCGGCGGCGACAGACCTCGGCGGTGCGGCAGGCGCCTGCGGCTCTGCTGCGCCGGCAGGTCCGGGCCGCCGAGCGCCAGCGAGAAGCGCAGCGGCGCGCCCTTGGGCCCGAGGCCGGCCACCACCACGCACCACGCGCCCTGCGCCAGGGGCCGTCGGCCCGCGAGAAGGGAGAGACCCTGGAGGCAGCAGCGCATCCCCACGGGCGTCCGCGAAAGCTCTCGGGCACCGAAATAGGAGGAGGAGGAGGAGGAGGAGGAGGAGGAGGAGGAGGAGGAGGAGGAGGAGGAGGAGGAGGAGGAGGAGGAGGAGGAGGAGGAGGAGGAGGAGGAGGGCGGCCGGCCCAGCCCGCCGCCGTGGCCTCCAGAGCCAGGCTACGAGAACGGCGATCGGTCACCGTACCACGTGTGGACTCCCTTCAGGCCTCGCTCCAGCGCGGTACGGTGCATAGCGTTGCGGCCCTGAGGGCCGATAAAACGATGCAGCTTACCATCTTTGGGCCGAAGATCGACGACGCCTCGGGAGACGCCAGCGCGGCACGGTGCATACAGGTCGTCTGTGGACCATCCCCAGACCCAGGCCTCCAGTTTTCCGTTGGCCGCTGGCTGCTCGCCACGGGGCGCTTGCCCAGCAGCTGCTCGGAGAAAAAATGCACCCGAGGGCCGAACGTCGACGCGAGTAGGAGGAGGAGGAGGAGGAGGAGGAGGAATAGGAGCAGGAGTAGGAGGAGGAAGAAGAGGAGGAGGAGGAGGAGGAGGAGGAAGCAAGAGTAGGAGGAGGTGGGGGAGGAGGCAGGAGGAGGAGGAGGAGGAGGAGGAGGAGGAGGAGGAGGAGAAGCAGGAGGACGAGAAGGAGAGAATGCCCCCGACTGCCTCCCGCTGTTGCTATTTTTCTTGCGACGCGTGTGGAAGCTCAAGGGGTTCATGCCGACCGGAAAGTGAGCAGATTCCAGCCGTGGCGGCGAGGGAAGGCCACGGTAGGCACATGCCATGCATCAAAATCTAGGGGCGCCCTCTGCGTCGACGCTGAGTTTCGCGAGGGGCCTCCCAGGGCCCCGCGGGCTAACAGGGACTTATAAGACATGACCGTGGGGCGCCAGTTTGCAGGCCGCTTCTTCTTCCTCGTCCTCCTCCTCCTCCTCCTCCTCCTGCCCCTCCTCCTGCCCTCCTCCTTCTCCTCCTCCTTCTCCTCTTTGGTGTGCCTGCTGTAATGGTATCCGTACCTCCACCCTTTCGAAGCGAAGATCTCTTGGCCCTTCCCTCAATCTTAGCTTTCTGTTCAGGGGTCCCGACTGCGGGCCCACGAGGCCATAGGAAGTTCGCCAGGATTGTAAGCATCACATCCTCGGAGATCTCGGATGGGTGTGGTTACGCCGGGGTGCGGGTTGCGATCTGCGCCGCCAGGGCTTGGGCAGCACCGCGTTGCACCGAAGGCTCGATGAGCCGTCGTCTGGGCGCGGCGGAGAACTCGAGGAAAATCGCTAGGATTGAACAAATCACATAATCCTCGGAGATCTGGGAGGGTACCGGCAGCGGCAACTTTTCTTCTCCTCGCTTCGGATCCGCCGTACTTTGGTTGATTATCGAACTTAAAAACTGTGGCGGAGATGCACCCCGAACGATGCGAACAAGTAAGGCGGAAATTTCCGCCTCAGAAAAGTAGGGCGGATAGTTCCGCAACGGTAGATGTCTGAAAAAACAACAAGGCAAAGTAGGGCAGAAATCGGCATCAGAGCCTGAGAAATGAGCAGCGAATTGTCGCCCGACTTGCGAGAATCGCCCAGAAAACACGGCGGGTCCGACACCAAGGTCTCCGCGACGTGAGGATCTCGGGGACATCTGCTGGCCGATCCCAGAAACCCTGGAACACAAAACTGTTGCCACACCTTGGGGGCACATCCTTTGCCTCCGCCAGCGGAGCCGTCCCCGTTTTACTTCCGCCGCCTTCCGCCAGGCAACTCCTCCAATCCTCGACGGCGAGGCCCTTCCCTGAGATCCGGCGGCGCGAAAAACTCGCACAATGTCCGAAGCGCCGACAGATCTGCCTTGCCCGAGGCGCCGACCGATCTGCGAGGGGCTTGGGGCCCGACACCTGACGAACACGCCCGGCCCGAAAACACTGACGCCAGGGTCTCAGGGCCGATCTTCGCCAGCGACAGCGAGGCCCTCTCTGGAGCGCCCCACCTCCGCGCCCACGGGGCTCCGCTCAGGCCGCCGCCGCGCCGCCCGCCGTGGTTCCCTCCGCGGGCGCCGCAGCGCGCGGCGTGCCCTCCACGGGCGCCCCGACGATCCGCGTCTGGCCCCACTGCGCGCGCCACCTCTCGGCGTGCGCCGAGGGCCCGGGCGCCCCCGCGCCGTGACAAAGGCCGGCTCGTCGGCGCCGTCGTCGTGGGCGTGGTCGTCGTTGGCGTCGTCGTCGGCGTCGTCGTCGGCGTGGTCGTCGTCGGCGTCGCAGTCGTCGTCGTCGTCGTCGTCGTCGTCGTCGGCGTCGGCGTCGGCGTCGGCGTCGGCGTCGGCGTCGGCGTCGGCGTCGGCGTCGTCGTCGTCGTCGTCGTCGTCGTCGTCGTCGTCGTCGTCGTCGTCGGCGGCGGGGTTGTCGTCGTCGGCGTCTTCGTCGTCGTCGTCGTCGGCGTCGGCGTCGTCGGCGTCTTCGTCGGCGTTGTCGGCGTCGGCGTCGTCGTCGGCGTCGGCGTCGGCGTCGGTGTCGTCGTCCCCAGATCCCCTCGCGTGGCGAACGAGATCACGACGGACGGCTTGTGCTCTCTTCGGCCGGGGCCCTCGCCGGGCCTCCCCAGGCCGTCAGGACTTTAGTTGCCCCTGTACGCAGCACGCAACCCGTGGCGTGTTGGCACGGATTCCAACACGTAGACTGACCCCGAAGATCTGGCGCGATGCGTTCGCCAAAGCGTGGGCCAGTTCGTGACGAAGCACACGCACCCAGTTCAGCTGTGACGACACGAGTTGCGTTTCAGCACGGGCGTGTCAAGGCAGCTATTGTCAAAACACCAGTCGGGATGAGAAGCTTGTCCCAGGGAATGGGTCGAGACCTCTGGGGGCTGATGCGGACACCAGGGGCCATCAACGGAAGAAATTCAAAGAATTGCGAAATGTTTTGTTCGATCCCGGCGCTTGCCTCGATTTCGGCCTCTGGGGCCCGTTATCGGGCTCCGGGGGCCATCAGCAAGTAATCCCGGACGAACAACTACCCCCGTCGAAGGGGTCGGGAGCTCTCTGGGCCCGCGAATGGAAACCATTCCATCGGAGGGGATCCTGAGAAGAGAGAGGGGAGCCCAGCGCATCGTCGCCCGAGGCGTTCGCCGAGGAGGGGGGCGCGGAAGAGGGGGGTTACAGTCATCGTGCTACCATAAGGGGCGCTGAAGATGGAACGGAGGGGCGTCTGTGGCCGCGGCGAGCCTCGGCCACGAACAGGCGCCCCACCCAGATGTAAGGAACGGCCCTCCGAGACCATGGCCCCTCCTGAACCCAACGTGGTCCCGACTTCCGCGCCTCGGCTGTGTCTCGTCATAGCCCGAGGCGCGTGCGCAGACCAGGGGGGGCCCAGGGGATTGTGCCGAAAGAGACAGCGGGGCCACGCAATCTGGGAGATCTCCTGCCTCACTTTGGCAGCAGGCCCCCTCGCTGTGCCAGGGGGCCACCCTCACTGTGGCAGGAGGCCCCCTTCCTGTGTCATGGGGGGGGCCCTTCCTGTGGCAAACGGCCCCCTCACTGTGGCAGGGGACTCCGGCACGGAGGACACGGTGGAGTTGATAAAACCGTGTGTGCGTACCAAGTCGTTTTGCTGCGTTGCATCGCCATCACCAGCAACATCATCCTCATCATCATCATCGGCATCAGTTGATAAAGTCGTGCGCGTGTGTACATGCATGTTTTCATCGTATCACAAAGTGTGTTCTCACATCATCGTTGTCGCGACCCCAGCATCCCAAGATGGCGATGACGATGGCGGTGACGAGTATGTGTTCCAAGACGCTGCTGATGACGATGGTGATGACGAGCATGTGTTTCAAGATGCTGCTGATGACGATGATGGTGACGAGTATGTGTTTCAAGATGCTGCTGATGACCATGGTGATGACAAGTACGTGTTTCAAGATGTTGCTGATGATGACGGTGATGACGAGTATGTGTTTCAAGATGCTGCTGATGACGATGGTGATGACGAGCATTTGTTTCAAGATGCTGCTGATGACGATAGTGATGACGAGCATGTGTTTCAAGATGCTGCTGATGACGGTGGTGATGACGAGCATGTGTTTCAAGATGCTACTGATGACGATGGTGATGACGAGCATGCGTTTCAAGATGCTGCTGATGACGATGATGATGACGAGCATGTGTTTCAAGATACTGCTGATGACGGTGGTGATGACGAGCATGTGTTTCAATATGCTGCGGATGACGATGATGATGACGAGCACGTGTTTCAAGATGCTGCGATGACGATGATGATGACGAGCATGTGTTTCAAGATGCTGGTGATGACGATGATGATGATGACGAGTATGTGTTTCAAGATGCTGCTGATGACCATGATGATGACGAGTAGGTGTTTCAAGATGCTGCTGATGACGATGGTGACGACCAGCATGTTTTTCAAGATGCTGCTGATGACGATGGTGATGACGAGCATGTGTTTCAAGATGCTGCTGATGACGATGGTGAACACGAGCATGTGTTTCAAGATGCTGCTGATGACGATGGTGATGACGAGCATGTGTTTCAAGATGCTGCTGATGACGATGGTGATGACGAGTATGTGTTTCAAGCTGCCAGTGATGACGATGGTGACGACGAGCATGTGTTTCAAGATGCTGCTGGTAACGATGATGATGATAATGATGATGATGATGATGATGATGATGATAATGATGATGATGATGATGATGAGTATGTGTTTCAAGATGCTGCTGATGACAATGATGATGATGACGAGTATGTGTTTCAAGCTGCCAGTGATGACGATGGTGACGACGAGCATGTGTTTCAAGATGCTGCTGACGACGATGATGATGATGACGAGTATGTGTTTCAAGATTCTGCTGATGACGATAGTGATGACGAGTATGTGTTTCAAGATGTTGCTGATGATGATGGTGATGACGAGATGCGTTGGGAGCAGTGCGTTGTCATAATGAGCTTCACAGGGCACAATCGGGTGGGAAGCACAGCCCACCAGACTAAGGGAATAACTCCCTGGGGCTAGGCACCCATAGCGGGTTCCATAAGTTCTCCTCTCCTTCCCCTTCTTCCTCCTCCTCCTCCTCCTCCGCCTCCACCTCCGTCGGTTCATCCCCACCCCTCTTACTTCCAGCGGGTGAGCGCCGAAGCGCGTTCCAGAGAGATTTCTTAAGCCTCAATCTCTCCATTCTCCGGCCTCCGGAGGCCCGAAACAAACATTAGCGGATTATACATTGATTTCTTTTGTTGTTGAATTACAAAAGGAATCCTTTTGTGGTGAACTACACATTGTTTTCTTTTGTGGCGGATTACAAAAGGATTCCATTTGTGGAAGATTACAAACAAGGATCTCTTTTGTAGACGATCACAAAATGATCCCTTATGTGGCGAATTACAAAGGGAATCCCCTTGTGGTGAATTACGACTAGTTTCCTTTTGTGGCGGATTACAAAAGGATTCCTTTTGTGGAGGATTACAAAAAAGAATTTCTTTTGTGGAGGATCACAAAATGATTTCTTTTGTGGCGAATTACAAAGGGAATCCTTTTGTGGTGAATTATAACTTGTTTCCTTTTGTGGCGGATTACACAAGGATTCCTTTTGTGGCGGATTACAAAAGGATTCCCTTTGTGGAGGATTACAAAGGGATTCCTTTTGTGGAGGATTACACATTGATTTCCTTTGAGGGCCTTCCTGGAAGTGAATCAGGGAACAAAAGAAAAACAAATAAATAGAAAATCATTGAAAATTCGGAAAATTGTAATTTTTCAATGGATTTCCAATGCTGTAAGCAAAAACCTATAGAAACACAGAATTTCCCAAGGTTTTGAAGCCGAAACCATATGAAAACACAGCATTCTTGCATGCGGAATGTCAAAATGCTGTGTTTTTACATGTTTTTGCTTCCAAGCATTGTAAATTCATATGAAAAATGTAATTTCCTTAATTTTCAATGTTTTCTTGATTTTTTGATGTTTTTTTTTCTTTTGTCCCCTGGTTCACTTCCAGGAAAGCCTTCAAAGAAAATCAATTTGTAATCCTCCACAGAGGGAATCCCTTTGTAATCCTCCACAAAAGGAATCCTTTTGTAATCCGCTACAAAATCAAACAAGTTGTAATTCACCACAAAAGGATTCCCTTTGTAATTCGCCACAAGAAAAAATCATTTTGTGATCCTCCACAAAAGGAATCCTTTTGTAATCCTCCACAAAAGGAATCCTTTTGTAATCCTCCACAGAAGGAATCCTTTTGTAATCCGCCGCAAAAGGAAACAATTTGTAATTCACCACGAAAAGAAGTCCCTTTGTAATTCGCCACAAAAAGGAATCAACTTAAAGTTTGCTACAAAAGGAATCATTCTACATTCCGCTACTTTGAGCAATCCCTTCAGAGATGACGAAAAGCATAATCAGCAGGAAAGCAGGTACAGAACACACACACACACACACTCACACACACACACACACACACACACACACACACACACACACACACACACACACACACACACACACACACACACCACACACACACACACACACACACACACACACACACACACACACACACACACACACACACACACACACACACACACACACACACACACACACACACACACACACACACACACACACACACACACACACACACACACACACACACACACACACACACACACACACACACACACACACACACACACACACACACACACACACACACACACACACACACACACACACACACACGGTTTTATCAACATTACCGGAGGACCCCCCGCCCGCACCCGCGCAGTCGGGCGCCGGCCAGGCCGCCCATGTCCTCACCCCCCCCTCGGGCGCCCCCCGAGCCTCCGCTGGTAGGCGCGGAGCTCCGCGCCGTTGGTGTACAGCGCCACGGCCGAGATCTCGGCGGTCCAGGCGCCCAACGACGCCATGAGCGCCGCCCAGGCGAGCGGGTGGTGCGCGTGCTCTCCGGCTCGGGGAGGGAACAACGGCACCAACATGAACTTTCGGAGGTCCGCGCGGATTCCTTGGACCTCCGCTCAGCCCCCGCTCCCGCGGAGCCGGAGGCGCCACCCTGGGGGGCTGCAGCGCGGGTCGAAGGGCTCCGCGAGGAGCTCTGGAAGTTTGCAGTAGACGCATACGAGAAGAAATCTTGCTTTGAGAAATCAAGGGGCACGTTCTTCGTCTTTCTTTGAGGTTCTTCAGGTGCCCCAGAGCTCCTCTACTGTGTTCAAGTGCCCCAGAGCTTCTGTGGGTCCCTGGGGCTAGTGTAAGAACTCCGCGCAATTCTCTGAAGGTCTATGGTTCCGTTTTTCCTCCCTCGACTGGCGCTCTCCGCCCAGAGCAGGGCAGTCAGGCCGTCCCAGTATAGGATCACGAGTGGGGCAATGCCAAGGGGGGTCACCACTAGGGGTGTCACCATTTCCTTGAGACAACGCCATTTCCTTGAGGAAGTGGGCCCGCAGAACACTACAGTTAGGTCGGGCGTGTCCCCCTACAGGGGGCTTTGGGCGAATAAAAAACATATACTCAAAAAATAAAACCCAAATGGGCAAACATATTCGAATACATTGTCCCCAGTTTACTCTTTATTGTTATTGTTATTATTATTATTGTTAGTATTAGTATTATTAGTATTACTATTATTATTACTATTATTATTATTGTTATTATTGGTATTATTAGTATTATTATTCTTCTTCTACTACTACTACTACTACTACTACTACTACTACTACTACTACTACTACTACTACTACTACTACTACTACTACTACTACTACTACTACTACTACTACTACTACTACTACTACTACTACTACTACTACTACTACTACTACTACTACTACTACTACTACTACTACTCCTACTCCTACTCCTACTCCTACTCCTACTCCTACTCCTACTCCTATCCTTATTCCTTATTAGAATATACTCCTACTCCCCCCTCAGGCCGGCCATAGGGGCCGCATCCGGGTGGTCCCATCCTAACCTGTAAAAAACAATACAAAATCAACATTTTCTTATTTTTTCCTCTCGACATGGACGTCCTGTCGTCCACGGCGATAATCCATTGCAAAAAATACCACAAAGAGCACACGCGCGCGTTCATGTCAGAATCCTACCGAACACCGTGTGTTTGCAAGCATTTCAACATAAAAACATCAAAAACCCAATGTTTTTTTTTCACAAAAATTGTGCAAATTTCCCGCCCGGGCTCTCTTGCTGAAATCATAGGAAAACCATAGGAATCTTAAGAATTCGGTCAAATCCAGCGATTTCACGTCATCGCGCGGTGCACTCGCGATGCTCTGTCATGGACCCAGGCCGCGAATCCTGTGCAAAAAATACCACAAAGAGCACACTCGCGCGTTCATGTCAGAATCCTACCGAACACCGTGTGTTTGCAAGCATTTCAACATAAAAACATCAAAAACCCAATGCTTTTTCACAAAAATGCTTTGGGGTGTCCTGTCAGACCGTCGGGCTTCCTCCGGCCACCTCTGGCTTCCTGCGGTGTACCGGGCCATTCTCGACTCGTCTGGCAATGCGTGCGCGGCATTCAACACGCGCTCGCCAGTTCCCGTCGGCAACCGCCATCGCGGCCGCATCAGCTGTACCAAACCGGCTGGCCGGTGTGACTTCGGCCCCCAGTTGTGCCAGCTTTGCTTCTTATGTTGTGGGAGGGCGGGTGGGACTGGGCATGCCATGCTTGACTCGCTCGAGCTGGCTAGCTTGACTCCTACTCCTACTCCTACTCCTACTCCTATCCTTATTCCTTATTAGAATATACTCCTACTCCCCCCTCAGGCCGGCCATTAGGGGCCGCATCCGGGGGGTCCCATCCTAACCTGTAAAAAACAATACAAAATCAACATGTTTCTTATTTTTTCCTCTCGACATGGACGTCCTGTCGTCCACGGCGATAATCCATTGCAAAAAATACCACAAAGAGCACACGCGCGCGTTCATGTCAGAATCCTACCGAACACCGTGTGTTTGCAAGCATTTCAACATAAAAACATCAAAAACCCAATGCTTTTTCACAAAAATTGTACAAATTTCCCGCCCGGGCTCTCTTGCTGAAATCATAGGAAAACCATAGGAATCTTAAGAATTCGGTCAAATCCAGCGATTTCACGTCATCGCGCGGTGCACTCGCGATGCTCTGTCATGCACCCAGGCCGCGAATCCTGTGCAAAAAATACCACAAAGAGCACACTCGCGCGTTCATGTCAGAATCCTACCGAACACCGTGTGTTTGCAAGCATTTCAACATAAAAACATCAAAAACCCAATGCTTTTTCACAAAAATGCTTTGGGGTGTCCTGTCAGACCGTCGGGCTTCCTCCGGCCACCTCTGGCTTCCTGCGGTGTACCGGGCCATTCTCGACTCGTCTGGCAATGCGTGCGCGGCATTCAACACGCGCTCGCCAGTTCCCGTCGGCAACCGCCATCGCGGCCGCATCAGCTGTACCAAACCGGCTGGCCGGTGTGACTTCGGCCCCCAGTTGTGCCAGCTTTGCTTCTTTTGTTGTGGGAGGGCGGGTGGGACTGGGCATGCCATGCTTGACTCGCTCGAGCTGGCTACTCCTACTGACTCCTACTACTACTACTACTACTACTACTACTACTACTACTACTACTACTACTACTACTACTACTACTACTACTACTACTACTACTACTACTACTACTACTACTACTACTACTACTACTACTACTACTACTACTACTACTACTACTACTACTACTACTACTACTACTACTCTTCTTCTTATTATTATGATGATTGATGTTCGTATCTTTAATATTATTAGAGTTATTATTATTATTGTTGTTATTGTTGTTATTCGTATCATTATTATTCGTATTATTATTATCATCCTTATTGTTGTTGTTGTTGTTGCTGTTGTTGTTGTTGATGTTGTTGTTGTTGTTATTGTTAGTTCTATTATTCTCACTATTATTGAATGTTCCTCCTGTAGAGGGACAGGCCCGCGGAACACTAGAGAGCCTTCCGACACAACCCCAGACGTCCAAAAGCATCCTCGAGCTTCGACCCTGGAACCGCAGCTTCCAAGAGGCACTGGTGACCCCCCCGACAGGTGGTGGCCCCCCCTTCCCAAACACCCCGGAGGTCTGCACCTTCTCAATGCGGGGCCCCTGGAAGTCACGACCCTCGCCCCGAGGCCGGCCTTCCGTCCCGAGCCGGCTTTCGACAGTCCTGGGGCCCGGCGAGGGGCCACCAGAGGCCCGAAGGCAGACAACAAACTTCAGGCGTGTTGTTTTCGCGGCACTTTCGCGAGGGAGTGCCCTCCCTCCTCCCCTCGTGCCGCCGGACAACCAGTTCGCCCTCTCCCGGCTGACTCCAGCGCGCGTGCGGATCACCTCTGCAGCGCGACGCCAGCACGTCTGGTTTGGCACCGCCCGACATGAGCACCACGGGCATCCACACGCAGTGCACGCGCGGGCCGCCAGGGCGGACCTCGAAGACCGCGTCGAAGGGGCTTCTGGCGCAGACCGCCCTCAGCGTGGCCGCCGCGCACGCGCATCCCACCAGGGAGGCTCCCAGTACGGGGTCAGGAGGCAAGTTCTGGGAGGTCTTCGTGAGACCGAGGCAAAGCTATCAGGCTCGACTTTAAGACGCCATCGGGCCGGATTCAACCCGGGATTCGAGGATGAAGCCGGACTGAGCCGGACTGAGCCGGACTGGGCGGGGTCAGGGCAATGAGCGGGATGAAACGAAACTTCGCCGCGGTCGGCCAGGTTTCGATCACGGATATGCCCGTGCCTAGATTGTTCTCATCCTCTGGCGCGTAGCGGCTGTCGCACGGGCCCCCCCCCCCTCCCCGGGAGTAACGGTAACGATCGTACGTGGGTGGGGGGGGGGGCTGAACCCCTCCCACATGCAGCGCACCCCAGCCCCGACTTGCCCCACCCCGCCCACGCGTTACCGTTGCCCGGGGGCCCCATGGCCTCCCCCCTCCAGTGACCACCTTTGCAAGAAATGCTAACATCTCAACCAGCGTGGACCCCAAACGGTGTGCGTCCAGCAATCTATGTTGTGCACTCTATGTGGTGCGAAATATGTGGTACACCCTACGTGGTAAGAGATATCCTGTGCAATCGATGTGGTGCAACCTATGTGGGCGGCGATCCATGTTGTGCCGTCGATGCTGTGCAATCTGTGTTGCGCGATCTCTGTTGTGCAATCTGCGTGGTGCAGTATACGCTGGGAAGTCGATGTGGAGCAATATCTGTCGTGCAATATATGTGGTGCAATCCACTCTGCTGAACTTGAAGTCGTCATCTCCACTGCTCGCGCAAACATCCCACCCACCCACCCGCAACTTGGTTTGCAAAACCTCTTAAGACCGACTACGACGACACCGACGACAACGACTACGACGACACCGACGACGTCTCCGATGTGGTGCAAGCCATGTGGTACAATCTATGTGGTGCGATTTATGTTGTGCAATCTATGTGGTGCAATACATGTGATCTAATCTAAGAATCTAAGGTGCAATCGACGTGGTGCAACCCATCTGGTGCAATCGATGCGGTGTAACCTATGTTGTGCAATCCATGGGAGGCGGCGACGGGGCGGCGACTGCGAGCACGGAGCCGCCAGAGCGACATTCAGGCCCAGACGACTGGCGGCGACGAGGCGGCGACGGGGCGGTGACGGTGAGCACGGAGCCGCCAGACCGATATTGAGAGCCCAGACGACGGGCGGCGACGAGGCGGCGACGGCGAGCACGGAGCCGCCAGACCGACATTCAGGGCCAGTTCCTTAGAAGAGAAGTACCCGCGAGTGCAAGCAGTGTTTGGCGAGAAGCGATTCCCAGCAGTTGCATCCCGCATTGGGCACCAGTTCCAGTCGGGGTCCCAGAGGGCGGCGATCGCCAGGGCGAGCTGCAGCAGGCCGAGGCTGACGCCCTGCAGCCACGGCAGGGCTGGGTTCAGCAGGACCCCCAAGAACACACCCGCGGCCGCGCAGCCCCGCTGCGAGCAGCTCTCGCGGCAGCGCCTTGCTGCGCTCCGCGCGACGCTTGCGCATGTCCTACGAGGGCGCCGGCGCGCCCGCAGATACAACCACCTGAGCGACGAACAGAAACGGGTCCTACGCACGATGACATAACGACCTTGCGCGGTGGCTTAGGCGGGCCGCCATCGCGGCGCGCTGGATTGGAGACGAGGGTGCCTACGCGCCATCTTACGCGGGCAGCTTGCGCGCCAATGTCCGCGCAGTAGACCCCGTTTTCCTCCGTCGCTCGCCAGGCGGAGGGGAGCGCTGGCGGCGCCAGCGCCGCCAGCAGCAGCTGCCAGGCGCTGAGCACGCCATCCTGGTAACTCGAGCACGTGATACAGGGTGACACCAGTTTTTCGAAGAGATCTGGAATATCGTACCGATCTGAAGACCCTGGAGACTGCAGAGCGAAGCTCTCAATCACGCCCACGTTCCCTCTAGTAGCTGCTCCAGATGCCGAATTTTGATGAAAACACCGTTCGAAGCAGCAGGCATCTGGTGGCCTGAGCACGGCATCTGCCTCTGAGCCAGTCAATGACACTATGAAACCACGTGTACGGGTACCGCGGCTCGACAGCGCGTCGCCACACATCGAATCCAAGGCCCAGGATGGGCACGGCCAGGATCGGTGAGGTGACCAATCCCTGAGATCCGAAGTAGCGGAAACATGCGGCCTCGTGGAAGATCACGACCAGGGCCCTCGACCCCATCCTTCTGCTGCATTTCTCGAGCAGGATGGATCTGTGAAGGCCCGTGGGCCCCAAACCAGGCGAGACCAACGGGTGTGACACATATTTGGGGCACCCAGATCTCAGGGGCATGCGCCGATCCAGGACCCAGGATAGACCTGGCCATGATCGGTGATGGTAAGGCTTCGTTCGGGTTGCGCACAAACAGCTCCCCGAGGTAGTTCTAGCTGGCCTCAACAGGCCCCCCCGAGTTGTCCGTAGTCCAGGGGGTCTGAACACCCTGGCGCAGCCTCTGGCGGCGTCCCCAGGGCGCTCCGCGCCCCAAGGTCGGGGTGTTGAGACCGCCCTGGGTCAACGTCTTGGGGGGGCCTGCTGAGGCCAGCCGGGACTACCTGTGGGGGCTGTCTGCGCTCAGCCCACAGCCTTACCAACCAGTGAGATGGTCAGTTGGCGCCCCCCGGGCTCAGCGAAGCCGACAGCAGAGCCCACAAGCCAGAGGGCCGCGAGGAGGAAGGCCGCCGCGCGCCTGCTCAGGCACGCGCCCCTGAGCCATCGCCCGCAGCGCACGGCGTGCGCCCAGAGGAACTGCCAGTTGTCCGCGGGCCGATGCTCGCAGGTGTAGGGCGCTCCGCAAAGGTCGCACAGCTCCTCTGGGAGCCGCACACGGTGTGCGGGCCCTCTGCCTTCGCCTGGCACGCGCTCGCGATGCTACCCCGCAGGAGTTCACTATGCTGTGCGCGGTGGCGGTTGCGAACGTGGTGTCGTGGTCATGCGCCTGCCCCCGGCCCTCGCTGGCCGGGGGTGGAACCAGCTCTTCCAGCGCATCGGGCACAAGTCAGCACGGATGATCTTCGTGCCCCAGTTCTCGGCCTCTGGGGGGTCTCGCCAGGCCCCAGGGCCGTCAAGAACGTGCCCAAGATGAACAGCTGAGGGCCCCCAGGAGAAGGGTCGGATCTTCCGAGGACCCCGTATTGACCAAATCAAAACAACGGATATCTGGGAACTCGTCCTGAGGGAAACATGACAGGACCAGTCAGCATCGAATCGAATAGTCAGATCAAGCCAGAGTGTGCGTCGGATCGGGCTGCATCGGCACGTTCGAAATCGAAATCGAATCGCATCGTATGTTCCAAGTTACAAAACCGCCATGCAAACATCAGGCCGCACCGCCCTGGATCGGATCGGATCGTCGGAATATTGGAACCGATTCGAAACGGGCTGGTCGGATCGGAGTGGGCCCTGTCTCGTTGAAATCGCTGCGTGGCCAAGAGAACACAACGATACAAACACACACCCACACACCAGCGTTCGAAGGTCCGTGCGTCATTCTTGGGTCTGCACCTGGTGCCGCCCCTCCCTGGCGCGCGGAGCACGCCAGGGGCGGCACCGGAGGCGCCGCCAGGGGGCTCCAGCGTCGATCCAAGACTCCGCTCGGATCTCCGAAATACACCGAGGATGGACCGAGGAGGCAAGGATGCAAGGGTACCCTTGGGAAGATTGCTCATCCTTCCTCTGCGCGTTGAGTGACATTTTTCCCCCTTCGACAACGAAAGCCGAGCCCTGGCCGACTGACGGTTGCTCGGGGTCTGGACTCCCCTCGGAGTGTCCTGCACACTCCAGCAACAAGACTGAGCTCGACGCCTCGCCCATCGGTGGCCACGTCGCAAGCCAAGGACGTGCCTCACAAACCTGGAGCGCCAGGCAAGTTCACGCAATCTTATTATTGTTCGACTGACCTCCGAAATCTTGTGTGTCGTGCCGTCTTCTCTTGTTCGACCGGCGACCCCTCGATGGACCCGCTGGCCCTGCCGCTGACCCTGCCGTGGCAAAGCTCTCCTCGGTGGCCCCTCGGGAGGGCCCCCCAGGGAGGCCCAGAGCGGTGAAAAGCCCGAGGGCCCGTCTCTCTTGAAGTACCACGTGAGATCTGCCTCGGTTGTTCCAAGGATGGCGTCTTGAGCCTTGAGGGATGGGACCCAAGGATAATCAGGGTTTTCTTATTTGGCGCTTTGCCATTGGGCCGAATGGGGGGGGGAGGGTGGGGGTCTGGCTCTGGACCTCTGCTCAATGCGATTGCAGCAGTGCGTCCTAATCATGGGGGGAGACCCCGCCTGTTGCCGCCTACTCGAAACAGGCGCCCAACACAGGCCAGATCTACTCCATGGGGGGGAGGGGGGGGGGCGAGGGCCCGCGCCGATCGGCAAAACAATGAATCAGACAACGATCACCTTGAGGGATGGGTACCTCAGGATAGAAAGGGATCCAAGGCGTGGCTTTACGTTGTTCAAGGCACCTCGTCCTCAGGACCCCGTCCCTCAGGACCCCATCTCTGAGCCACCGACTGTTCCAGGACAGGAGCACACCGTGGACGGATCTACCCTTTCTCCGTCCTTGCACTGAGCCGAACGTATCGGCCAACGCGGCGAAAAGCCTGAGCACCCGAACCCCTTTCCGAGACATCAAGGCGACGGGATTGTTCCAATGCGCGTGATCTTGAGGGGCCGTGGGGAACGTCCAAGGTGTTTTTGTTATTATTTTGCTTCTTAATTTCCAACTTTGCTTCTTAATTTCCGACTTTCCGTCTTGTGAACCATCTTGTGAATAAAACGCTCTATGGACCAGGTTCCGGAAACCTTGACAAACCGCCCTGAGCACTTCCAACCACCACTGCCCACTGCCTCAGCGCGTCCCCAGAGGTCCCGACCCGTTCCCCGGCCGTCCGTTCTAGGTGGTCCGGGGGCCCCACGATAGGCCTGCAGAGGCCGAGATCGAAGGACAACACCGGGATTGAACAAGCCACATCGTCGGAGGTCTGGGCTCCCTGCACGGCGAGACTCCTCGATGGCCCCAGCGGCCTGCCGCCGAAGCTGATGACGCTTCCTCTCGGCGGCGCCCACAAGGGGGTGGCGCGATGGGGGCGGCCTCGTGAGCATCGGCGGCGAGCGAGGGGGGGAACTGAGACGGAGAAGGCCCTCTCAGAAGGTGGCGGGGCTTCTCAGAGGCCCTCGCCGCATTCGGAGAAGTTTTCGGTCTGTGTCTTCGGGGAAGGCTTCGAGACCTTCTCAGACGGCTGGGGGACTTCCGAACCTTCTGAGACGGCCCGCCCCTGCTCACTTCCCTCCGGGCTCGCCGCCGAGAGCAGGCGCAGGGGGATTCTTTGAAGACAGGGGCCTTCGTGAAATTCTGAGACGGCCTCTTCGAAGCCTCTTGGGCCTTCCATAAGGAGGCCCCTGCCTTCTAGGACGCCACCTCCGCCTTGCTGGTACGGCGAGGGCATTGGACAAGGAACCTCTGCATAAAGAATCCAGGGTCTGGAGGCCGGAAGAACTCCCACCGTGGATCGGCCATGGGTTTCACTTCCACCCTCGTCGGATTGCCGCCGCGCTAATCGTTCTCGACGCGCCCAAGTGGACGAAGCCGGCACCACGACAGACCCACAGCAAGCCATGCGCCGCGCGCCTAAGTAGACGGCGCTGGCACCGCGGCAAACCCACGGCGCACCCACCGCGTCCGAGGCGGCGTTCGCCCTGGTGGCTGAGGCGTCCTCCCCAAGACGGAAGGCCGCGCGTCGGAACAACCGGCGCGGCGACGGACAAGGACCTCCCCAAAGTCCGAACCCTCCTGCGCACATTCCTTCACCAACGTCCCCACCGCAGGCCGCCCCCCCTCTCGCGCCGCGCCCCCGCTGTGGGCGCCACCGATCCTCGCCGCGAGCCAGGCCTCGATGCAACTGGCGTGCACGCCGCGCAGGGTGCCCCTGCAGCGGCACGGCGCCACCAGCGGCTCCTCCAGAGGCCTCTTAGATGGGGTCCGCGTAGATGGGGCCGGAGGATTGCATCGAATCGCCGATGTATCGGCGCTGCATCGGCGACGCATTGGCGACGTCGGTGATGCATCGGCGCCGTCGGCGTGGAGAAAGTCGGGCGCCACATCGAGTCGCGTCGCCGATGCATCGGCGATGCGGCGCGATCTTCCGACCCCATCTGCTCGGACCCCATCTGGGAAGCTTGGATCCTCCGCGTCCGGGTCCCCGCACACCCAGCATACGGGCCGTGGGCCGTCCTTTGCGGAGGACCCAAGAGCCGCAGCCGTGGCCATGGTGGCGTCGCGAACAGAGGCACGACGGGAAGTTTTTGGCAATTTTCGGCTTCCGGGAGCCCTCGCCGGGCCCCAGAACCAGAACAAAACGACTCGGGATGAGATACTGGCTCTGGGGGAAGGGTCTTCACTACTGGGGACGCCGTTTTGACAAGAAGCGAAACATTGGATGTCTGGGACGGCGCCCCCGACCTCCAAAGCCTGGGACAAATCTGGCACGGAGTTTTTCATGAGTTTTCGGCCTCTGGGGCCAAGCCCTGGCGGACCCCAAGGGGGTCCAGCTAAAAATGGGTGGTGCAATCGAATTTGGGCAATTGTATTGCAAGGTATTACAACTCATGTAATGCACGCGAAAATCCAGCTACGCAGTTGCGCCCCCGAATGTATTGTACACACCAAATCTATTGCAGCCCCACGGGTCTGTTGCACCAAACCATAGTGCACAACCCCCTCTTCGCGGGACCCTCCTTCGGGTCAACCAGACACGCGGGGACCCCCAGAGGCCGACATCGGCGAGCATTACTTTTTCGATGCGTGGGGAGTCTGCCGTCTTGCCCATTGCTCGGGCCTCCAGTGGCCGTTCGAGACAATATGTGGAACCCCGGGCACGCTCTTGCCGAGGCCCAGCTGCTGGCAGGCATCCTGGGGCGAGGACGCCTCCACCGGCCAACGACAGTCTACGAAAATCTCCGCGCTGTTTCTTCAATGGTCGGGCTCACGCCCACATGGACTACGGATCTGTGGATCTGTCGCGTGGGCGCCAGATCCAGGGACAATGGAAACTATCCCTCGACACATGAGGCTAGTGCCGCCTAACTTGGCGACGGACCGCGCCGCTTTGGCATGGAAGCAGGAACCGTCTCTGGTCCACGCGCCTTCCACCCACACGTCCTCAGTCCTCAGATCTCGTTTTTCAATCCGAGTCCCAGAACTCCCGACCCCTTCCCAGGATAAGCATTGCGTCCCGTACCCATTTTTGATGCTCCTGGGCTTCGGTCGCGGGCCCTGGAGACCGACATCGAGGGAACGCGCAGGGATGGAGAATCATATGGTGCCCTCTTGGATCTAGGCCTGTCTCTCCTCTGAGCCTCTTCCGGATTGGGGAAGCGGGACCCGCCGCTAGTCCGCGCGCCTCAATCCATGCTTGCGCCTCCTCGAGCTTGGGGGCCGACGCCCCCCCCCCTCGAGCTCGTCCACCCTGACGCTGCCCCGTGGCCTTCGGGCCACGGCTCGGCTCCCCGGCGCCCGTTCGGGACGATCTGGGCACCCCCAGGACGCCCTCGGCGAGGCGCAGCCGCTGGGAGGCGCCCCGAGGCTGGAAAACCGCCGGGGACCGACGCACACGTCCGAAAACCTCGAACCTCGATTCCGAGAGCCGACGACAACGCCCGAAAACCTCGAACCTTGATTCCGAAAACCGCTCCCCCGTCGGAAATTTCCCCGGAAATCTCGCGGAAATCGTCCCGAAATCTCCCGGAAAATCTCCCCCGTCGGAAATCTCCTGGGAAATCTTCCCGAGAACCAGCGAAGACGTCCGACCTCGAACCTTGATTCCGAGAGCGTCGGGCCAGGTCTGCCCAGGGCCCAGCCCGACCCGTCTCCCTCGGGGAGGCTCTCCCGCCGCGGCGACGAGGCACCTCCGCAGGAGGCGATGGTCAGTGTGCGACGAGCGCGGGGGCAGAGCCGCCATGCGGGACGAGCACGCCGGGAAACCTCGAACCTCGAACCTCGTTGCCTCGAGCCTCGAACCTCGCCAGAAAACCTCGAACCTCGAACATCGTTGCCTCGAACCTAGAACCTCGAACCTCGCCAGAAAACCTCGAACCTCGAACCTCGTTGCCAGTGTCTTTGCCCCCCTCCCCCCAAGGCAAATTCTAGACCCAAAAGCCCTGGGGGCTGGGCGAAGGTCCTGGTCGTGAATTTGGTATGCAACACTCCCTCCACAGGATGTGGGTTTTGAGCACTACGTGGCCTCGGGCGGTGGAATCTGATTGGGGCGGGGAGGATGTGGTGTCAGAGGCCTCCGGAAGGGTCTAAGTAGATGGGGTCGGAGGATCGCGCCGCATCGCCGATGTATCGTCGGCGCATCGGCGCCGTTGACGTGAAGAGAACCAGGCTCCACTCCGACCCCCACCGACTCGGACCCCACACCTCGAGGAGTGCCCGCCCTCGAGCTCCCCCAAGCCGCCCGGGAGCGCGCCGCCGCTGGCCCAGGCGGCAGCCGCTCCGCGCGGGCGCTCGTCCTCGGGGAGCAGGGGCTCCTCCATGGGCGCCCGGCGCGGGGGCCATCCAGCCGAGCAGGGGGCCGGCGCGGGGCTGCTTGGCGGCGCGCACGAGCCCAGACCCCGGGCGTCTCGAGCAAATAATGACTGACATCGTCCCTGGTTTTCGGCCTCTGGGGGACCTTACAGGTCGGGAAGGGCCAAGCGTGCCCCCAGGACGACGCACCGCCATCACCAGCAGCAGCTCTACACGCAGGCGTCACGACGGGAAGCGGCATACAACACATACGGTGGGGGTCTTGAATAAGGAACCCTTCGAGAAGGAATCCAGGGTCTGGAGGCCGGTGGAACTCCAATCTTGGATCGGCCATGGGTATCACCGCCGCCCTCATTGGATAAGGAATCCTCCAGGGTCTGGCGCCTCCTGGGCACATTCCTGAACCAATGCCCCCACCGTATACGAAACTGGAAACCGCGCATCTCCTCTTCTCGGTGTCGGCGGAATGGCGTAAGTCTCTTGTGCAAATTCTTTTGGCGCGCAGACGAGGCTTCATTTGCGAAGGTCAAGGCTCATCCAACAGATTTGGCGACATCTCGTCGATAGGCTGCAGCCAGCCAGAGACCGCAGGCTGCCTGCTCTTGTGAGCCCCGCGTGCGCAGCTTGCCCAGGGCACCCAAAGCTTCGACAGCCCCCGCATCCTGATCGAGACGTGCAGCTCGGAGTCCCCATCGGATCCTGGCACAGGGCTGGCGGCTGTCAGCACCGCGCTCGCAGCCGCCAGAAACGTGCTCCCGTTGCAGCGGAGCTTGATGGCGCCCAGGTCACAGCATGCCTCCTCCACCCCGCAGAGGTAGGCCCGTTCGTTCACCAAGCGCTGGCTGAGCCTCTCGATCTCCAACAGCTGCTCCCGTGGCAGCCACTCCCCCAGGGTACGCCCCGTGCGACCCGCGCAGAGGTGGAAGCACATGTCGCAGACGCGCATCCCCTGGACTCCATTCTTGTGTTTTTGCGATGCTCCCCGTTACCGACCCCGCCACCCCCACTCCCCCCCCCCCCTGGTCGCGTCGCGATTTTCGCCAGCACCCTCTGGGAGTGAGCCCCTCCTGAGAGCATTCCCCACACGGCGCTGGCGCGCATCGTGACGTGACCGGCCTCCTCCACCCTTCCCCCCCAGTAGCGCCAGGCACAGGGCGACGAGGTCGATACAGATCCACTGCCCCAGGCCTGGCCCATCCTGGGCTCAGGAGAAGCGTCTATGCCTATGCCTGGCCAGGCCAGGAGGGCGTACACACCTCTCCTGGGCCGAGGATGGGCCACGCCTGGGGCAGCGGATGTGTGCATTATAGATCTCGTCGCCCTACGTTCTCGCCAGCGGACAGAGAAAAACGAGCTCCTGCACTCCAGAGTCCAGCCGCAAACACACGTCCTGGATCCCGGCGGCATCCGCGGTGCGGCGCCCGGACGAGCATGAGGACCGGGACGCGGACGAGCCCGAGGTGGACGAGCGCGACGAGCGCAGAGAGGTGACCCGCCCCAGCTGGGCGCGCGCAGTGACCTCCGAGCATCGTTCAGGCGATACCCATCCCCACTGGCGTGGCCTCCGCCCCACTGGCCGACTTCTGCCTGCTCCTTCGGACCTCTCGGGGGGGTCCCTCCCCACCTACAGAGGGTGGGCTGGTGGGGCCGAGAGTCCACGGGCCCAGCGGGGATGGGGATCTCGGGCGCGGCCTATCACCTACCCCTGGCAGACCAGCCCCTTCCGTGAGGTCGCCCTCGCCTTTCAAGCCGCCCTCTGGCCGCATACACGCACGTCTTGGGGCGAGGCGAAGGGGGCCGTCACGGCAGGGGACGGCTTGCTATATAGGGGTCGCTTAGGCCGCCCCCGAGGACAGGTTCGACGAGGCTGAACCTCGGGGCCGCCGGACTCGCCCATCGCTGGGCCCTGGTGCGCGGAGATCTCGGGCGCGGCCGCGGCGGCGCCGCCCGCCTCCCGAGGGGGGCAGGCTGGCGGCTCCGCGGGGCCAGCCGCCCCCGCCGACGGCCGCCACGCCACGGCCCCCGGCGCGTCCACGCGCGCCTCCCACGGGAGCGCCCCGGTATCCCGGATGCCTCGGCCGCGCGCAGGAGGCCTTGAAATCTGGGTGCTGCCTCTCCGGACGCGGCGTTTTTTTCGCTGGGCGTCGGCCCCCGGAGGACCCTCACAGATCGATGCAGCTCGAGATTGCAGCGCCGGATCTCAGGGGTGGCCCAGGCAAGATTGGCCCTTGGTGCGCGGCTGTAGGGGTCCGCGGGGAGGGCAAGTCCATGAGCGACCCCCCCGAGGGCCCGCACCAAGGGTCACTCCAGCGAAGGGTCGCTCTTGCGCGTTGCCAGGTGCCCATCAGGAGTCCCAGAGCGTCGTCGACGTCCGGGAGCGAGGCCACAAACAGCTCTACGGGGACCTGGCTGCCGCTGCGGCTCCGCAGCGACACATGGATGGAGGCGGGAGCCCCTGACCCGACCGCGCCCTGGCCCGCGCCTGCGGCCTGCGCGCCGGCGTCGTGCCCCGACGCACCGCCCTCAGGCTGGAGAGCCGACATCGCCGCGAGGAACTCCTGGAAGCGCTGCTGGTCAGACTCCGTCACGTACTGGAGGAAACAATCGCCTCGAAACAAGTTCTGCGTGCCCACATCCCCTGCCCTGGAGCCCAGGAATTGCACCAGTGGGCGTGAGTGGGAGATGATCTGCATCTCTGGGCCGATGTGCACTTGGGCATCGCAGAGCACGGAGAGCAGCATTTGCACTGCCTGCTGTGCTTGGCTCGACTGTCTGGACTGCAGAGCTGCTTTGATCCGACCTCGATCACCAGCCTCTGCGAGCAGCAGTATGCAGCACACGAAAACGCAGGTGTGGATCTCTTGCATGCATGGCTCGAGAATCCCGATGGTGGATGATACACGTTCTGCGTGACGTTTCCAGGTCACGAAACAGTACGTTGCAGAGAAAAGCACGTTATACTTCAGAGATATCGTGCAATCCATCAACAAAAAGCCAGCCATAACTCGCCCTGCCAGACCGCTAGGGCCCTCCACAACCAACATCTGCACTGCAAAGCAAAGCATTGATGTCATGTATAGCCTCTCCACGACCAAGGGCGAGAAGTTCGAACAATAGCGCGCAGTGAGCGCTCGAATGCAGACAAACCCAATCTTGCCCAGACATTCGTGGATTGCTCCCCCCGTGCGGATCTTGACGATCACGTACAATATGTTGATGACTGCCAATGGAGGGAGTATCACGTGGACAGCGGAATGACAGCGGGCAGCCCGTGCTTCGTCCAAATCTCGTTGAACCCTCTTATCCAACGGAGTCAAAGAGACTGGAGGTGAAACAAGCTCCGAAATCATCTTCGCACATGTACCCGCCGATGCCACGATGTTTGACCTGACTGCCCACCAGACTGTCGCTACGATACATACGCACGCCGTAACAATCGGCCGAACAAGTTTGAGCGCCCAGGCCTCATCATGCCCCATCTCAACAGGAGAGCCGACCTGATTCCAAGAGGAATTCGACAACATGGCCGCGCGCGCAGGATAAGACGCGAGTCAGGACGACGTTGGTTGTACAGTGTCGGGTGGTCGAGGTGGTGGCTGGGTAGGAATGTCTCGAACCAACGTGGTTACGGATCTCCAACATGGAAGCTTGCGGCAGGCAGCTTTAGGGCATGTGCTCCAAGTGACCCAGCGCTTAGAAACGAGGATCTCTCGATGCGCTTTACCCAGGAACTTCTTCGAATAATCATAGTCTCGTTTCGCCTTATTCTCTTGCGCAGCTGTATTCTAAAGCTCCGACCTCTTTATTTTGGCTCGTCGTCGTGGATCGTCCTCCACCCTGGTCTCTCTCTTGGGGCCTCCCCCCTGGCTTTAAGCACTTCCCCCATGAGCCCCCGCGTTCGTCGTCGTGGTTCGTGCCCCCCCTAGCTTACTCCGGGTCCTCCAACCCTCCCTCGCCTCCCTCGAGGCCCCCCCGGGGCCGCGGAGCCCTTTGTTTTTGTTTGTCGCCCCCGACCTCCCTCGGGACCTCTCCCCGGGCCTCTCCCAGGGCGTCCCCCGTGGGCTGCGGAACCTTGTATTTTCGCTCGTCGTCGTGGTTCGTCCTCCCCCCGTGCCCCCCCCCCACCCCCCCGGGCCTCCCCCCTGGCCCTGCTCGGGGCCCCCTCCCGGGCTGCGCAACGATTTCGTGCAATTTTCGCTCGTCAGCAGCCCGCCCCCTTCGCGCTCGCTCCCCCGCAGGGCCTCCCCTCGGCCTCTCCCCCTTGTCTTGGTTCGTCATCGTAGTTCGCCCTCCCACCCAGGCCTCCCCCCCGGACCCCCCGCCCTGGCCTCCCTCGCGTTTGTCGTCCTCCCCCCCTCGCCTCCCCTCTGATCCCCCTCGCGTTCGTCGTCGTGGTTCGCCCTCCCCTCCCTAGCTTTCCCCAGGGCCTCCACCCTGGCTTCCCTCGGTGCCTCCCCTCTGGGCCACAGAACCTTTTACTCTCTTTCACAGATTTGTTCTAAAACTCGAGCCCCATTTTTCCCAACCATCCTGTGGTATTGGGTCCTAGTTTTGAAACAGTAATGCCCCGCGTCCCTCCCTCCCGCCTCCTCCTTCTCCCGCTCGTCCCTCCTCGCATGCCTGCCTCTGCCCTTCGTACAAGCAAATCATTCCGGCACAGCCCTCACACGCTTCGTGGACCCATAAGGAGCTCCACCTGAGGCCCCAATGGGATGGTTCTCCTGGCACAACCGCTCCATGTTGGCACACTCCTCAACTGCATGGCGGCCCCGCCACATCTCGGCACACCCTGATACGGCACACCCCTCACACGCTTCGTGGCCCCATGGGAAGCTCCCCCTGGGGCCCCAGTGGGAGGAATCTCATGGCACCGCTGTCCCACGACGGCACATCTCTCGCACGTTCCATGGCTCCATAGGGAGCTCCACTAGGCCCCAGTGGAAGGGTTCGCATGGCACCGCCGCCCCATTTCGACACACTCCGTGGCCCCAAAGGGAGCTCCACCTGAAGCCCCAGTGGGAGAGTTCGCATGGCACTTCCGCCTGATTTCGGCACACCTCTCACACGCTTCGTGGCCCCATGGGGTGCTCCACCTGAGGCCCCAGTGGGA